CGGGAGGGGAGGTGGTGAGGCGGCGCCCGTGCCACGGCCACTCTGAGTCTCCCCCTTCCTCCCAGGTTTGAGAGCCTGGGAAGGAGGGGGAGACTCCGAGTGGCCGCGGCACGCGCGCCGCTTCTCCCCCTCCCTCCCAGGCTCTCAAGCCTGGGACAGAGGGGGAGCAGCAGCACGCGAAACGGCCGCTCGGGATCTCCCCCCGCTTCCAGGTTTGAGAGCCTGGGAGGGAGGGCGAGTAGCGGTGCGCGAATCAGCTATTTCGCGCGCCGTGGCAGCAGCAGCGGAGGTGAGCTAGGGCGGCTGGGGCACATTTTTAGGGGCGGCATTCTGGCGCCGGCCATGCCGCCCCTAAAAATGTGCTGCCCCAAGCACCAGCTTGTTTTGCTGGTGCCTAGAGCCGGCCCTGGCCACTAGCAAAGTGCTGGCAGGCATATACTCTGAACATGTGTTTCTCTTTAAGGAGGATGGGCTGCAGACATGCTGTCCCTAAGGCCTGAGAGGCCATTCTCCATATGTCTGGACAACATCCCTGGTTTTAAGGTGCTGACAGCCAAATCACCCAGTAATATATCCTAAAAAGGCCCATGGGACTCAGTTTAATCTGTTCTAATCCAGGATTGGTGGTAAAGCCCAAATTCTGTGAACAAGATGATTAAGCATGCAGAGATTTTTGGCTCCTGAATTGCACTTAGACTCACGTAAATAATGCAGAACACTTTTGTTGAACAATAAGAGCCCTTGACAAAGGAGGGGGCCCTTAATTGCTGAAGAAAGGCTGCATAACACATTCAGTGCCTTTGTAGTACTTAACCACCTTGGCAAGCCTCTTTAAAGGCATTACCTGAACAGACTTGTATTCAAAACTGAGACTAATAAAAGTGCATGCATTGTGCACAAGGAAAAAACAAAACAAAACCAGGCAAAGCTCCCACATAATCTGTGTGCCATGCCTGAAGGGTCAGCTATAGGCACTGCAAACCTAAGGGAATTCAGCCAGGAAGAGCAATTTTCAACATTTTGCTGACAGGTGGTCATCTACTTACTGTAGAACCTCAGCGTTACAACCACCTCGGGAATGGAAATTGTTCGTAACTCTGACAAAACATTATGGTTGTTCTTTCAAAAGTTTACAACTGACCATTGACTTAATACAGCTTTGAAACTTTACTATGCAGAAGAAAAGTGCTGCTTTCCCTTTTTAAAAAAAAATAGTTTACATTTAACACAGTACTGGACTGTATTTGTGCTTTTTTTTGGGGGGGGGGGTCTCTGCTGCTGTCTGATTGTATACTTTTGGTTCCAAATGAGATGGGTGGTTGACTGGTCAGTTTGTAACTGTGAGGTTCTACTGTACTAGGTTTGATGGGAGGCAGGAGATGGAGAGGAGCCAAAGTGGAATGAGCTTGTGTCCACATCAAGAAGGGAAGACTCCACACCTCCAGACAGGAACATAAGAACGGCCCTACTGGGTCAGACCAAAGGTCCATCTAGCCCAGTATCCGGTCTTCTGACAGCGGCCAGTGCCAGGTACCCCAGTGGGAATGAACAGAACAGATAATCATCAAGTGATCCATCCTGTCGCTCATTCCCAGCTTCTGGCAAACAGGTTAGGGACACCTGTCCATCCTGGCTAACAGCCATTGATGGACTTATCCTCCATGAAATTATCTAGTTCTTTTTTGAACCCTGTTATGGTCTTGGCCTTCACAACATCCTCTGGCAAAGAGTTCCACAGGTTGACTGTGCACGGTGTGAAGAAATACTTCCTTTTATTTGTTTTAAACATGGAAACCGGAAAACGTGTCTATTATAAAACAGGCTGAGCACCTGGAGAGGCCCCTGCAAACAAAGAGAAGCCAGAAATCTCAACCCTGGGGAAAATAATGTGTAAAACAGAGAGCGAGAGAGCGCTGCATGTGGCAGCCAGACAGGGCAGGGAATGAACGTGCAGGGCTTCCAGGGAGCGCGGGATCTCGGCAAGAGGAGCGCTGGGGGGCGGGCTCGCAGGCCCCGCTCCAGGATGAGAGCCCTTGGCTCCGGCTGAGCCTGTAGAGAACAGGGGGAGCCTCTCACCTATTCCCGCCTGGTCCCTCCGCGCGGGCTTCAGCCGTAGCTACAGGCGCTCGGTGCCTCAGAAGCCTGTCCCAGGCCGGCTGCCGCTTCGGAAGGCATGGCCCAGCGGGGAGAGCGGGGGCCGGGAAGGGAGCTGCTGGGCGGGAGAACCGGGGCCCCGGGAACGGCTCAGGCCTGTGGCTCATACGGGGTGAACGAAGGGCAGCCCGAGTGGCGCGCGGCTGTAGGCGCCCCGGGCTGCGCCGATCGGGTGGCGCTGAGAGACCTGCGGGTTGACCTGCGCTACCCGGCCTGTGCGTAGCCCTTTAACACCTCCCCCTCCGCTCGCTATTGGCAGAACTGCCGGGGCGGGGGCGGGCGCAGGCGGTTTTCGGACCCAGCCCGCCAATGGGCACTCGGGCTGCGTCCAGCCTCTTCAGGTCACGTGACCCGAGTGGCCCACTGACAGCCCGATGGGGGCGGGGCGGCTCCCCTTCACCGAGGCTGCCGGCGGTTGAGCGGTTCCGGGTGCGCGCGAGGCGGTGACCGCGGCGGGTGAGTGCCTCCCGCCCCGATTCTTCTAGCCGCGGGCCCCACCCGCCCCCTCCTCCTGCCGGGCGGGGCTCGCTTGCCTCCAAGCGCTGCGGCGGCACTGGGCCGCTCAGGGTGGGGAGCCGAGCGCGGGCTCGAGTCGTCCGCCGGGGTGTGGCCCTATGATATCACCACGAGACAGGGGGAAGTCATCTCGCTGGTCCCCCGGGGTCATTTTGTGGTCACCACGTGGTGGTGTTCCCGTGTTGTCGTGGGGTGCGTTGCTATGGTGTCACCTGCTGACGTCACACGGGTGGTAGTGATGTCACATGGGGTAGGTTATCCTAGCCAGAGAGTAGTGGTTGCTGTGCGCTGTGATGTCACTGAGGGGCCTGATCTCTCTCTACGCCCAGATTGGTGCTGCCCTAACTATGGTGTGAGGTTTAGGTAGTTCTAAACTAAGGCCAAATCAGGTACTGCCAACCTGCTTGAAAAGAGTTTGCAGCAACGCTTGTAACTAAATTTGCTGAGGAAACACCACCTCTGTGTGAGGGTTGTCGTAAGTTCTTGTGTATGGCCATGAAGTCTGAAGGGACCCATAGCTCTAGTCTGATCTTCTGGTATATCACGGGTCCTAAAATTTCACCCCTCACCTCTGTAGTGCGCCCACTAATTTGTGTTTGGCTAAAGTACATCTTTCAGAAAGGCATCCAGTCTACACTTGAAGACCTCAAGTGATGAACAATCCAACTCTTCACTTTTTCTAATGGTTAATAATGCTCCCTGTTAAAAGTGTGTCTTTATTTCTAATTGTTAACCACATATAAATATATGTTACTCTGTTACTCTGAAACCTGTCACATATAAATAGTTTCCTGTTGCTTTT